CCCCCCCCCCCCCCCCCCCCCCCCACCCCGCTCTCCCCGTCAGCCGGTGGTGCTTCGTCCCGCGTCGCCGTTGCCGCCACGAATCCCCAGCTACTGGTGATACTCCCTCATTTCTGATAGACAAGCAAGCCTCCCCTTTTAGTGACAGAGTCTGTCATGCATGGCTTTGGAAGGCCGGCCGCTTTGTTTTGACACTCCTTCCCTGTAGCCTGCTCGCGTTGGGTGGGGGGGGTCGGGGGAGGAGGGGGGAATGTGATTTTGGCGAGTGCTTGATTGAATGTGTTTCTGGCGGAGGTTTAATCAGGTTTCGCTCGTGTCTGCAGCCTGAAGCGGGGGCTCATTTAAATTTCAGAATGACCTCCGATGGAGAAGACAGTGTCGCCGAGGTGCTACTCTTCATCGGGGGGGGGACGAGACAACCAAACACACAAGAACGTCAAACTGCTTCCTGATTGTTCTGGCTGATTGTTGCTGGTCTGAAATGTGGAATGTTTTCTGAATAATAATTGCTGCCATTGCAACTAACAAGGTGCTTTTCAAAGCTTCTTGCTAATGTGGAGCCCATTACGGAATTTGCACAATTCCTCTCTTACGCTCCATCTCTCCCGTAGAAATCGGAGGATGACGACCTGGTTCTGACACCTGACGGAACCCGGGAGTTCCACACCTTCGAGATCCCGCTCAATGACTCGGGTTCTGCTGGGCTGGGGGTCAGCGTGAAGGGCAACAGGTCCAAGGAGAACCACGCCGATCTGGGCATCTTCGTCAAGTCCATCATCCATGGCGGAGCGGCGTGCAAGGCAAGGCCGGGCTGCCCTCGCCACTTCCATCCCCTAACCACCCAACGCTGCATCCTCTCAGCCTGTCCCTCTCCTTGTAACCTCGGCGTTAATGATCTTGACCTGGAGCCCAAACATGCTCGTGGGACTACTTGTACAAAAATGAGATACCAGTCAGATAACCATTCAGATTGTAATGGAGGTGGGTCCAAGCAACTAGAGGAGGCGGGATCAAAACATGTTATTGGTTGGTCCCGCCTCCTCTAGTTGCTTGGACCCACCTCCATTACAATCTGATTGGTTATCTCTCGGAACCAATTATTTATCATTTTGCCCACAGAATATTTTTGTGTAAGTAAAAACTCCCATGAACCCCAAACATCTGCGACTCAGATGCCAAGGGATCACCTGCTGTTGCAGCTCTGAGCCAAGTCGTTAACCCAACAGACTTCAGTTAAAAAAAAAAACATCCAGCAGTCTTAAAGGACAAGGTGTGAAAGATGTAACTAAATTAAATAAGTCACTCCACCTCCCCAAGCCTCGCGGACACGCCTTCCTCAGTCCTCTCGCCCTCAGATCATTAATTTGCCCCTGTGCCGGCTGTGACACCCTCGGTAATATTAATGCTCCCCTCAGAAGATTAAACGAGTCTCCCTCTGCATAAGAACCCAAAGTGCAGTAATACAGGAGCACGGAAAATCAATACTTCCTGAATAGATGTTTACTCTCCGCTTGGCTCGTGTCGTGCGTCGTCAGTAAGATGAAGTGCCGTGTTCTTAATGAAATACAGCACTGGTGTCACACAAAGGGGAATTCCTTATCGCCTTCGTCGATGGCGAATGTGTATGTAGAAGGTTCCAGATGAGGTTCATTTAAATAGCAGGTTTATCGTCCTCTGTTTTTGTTTTGTTTTTTGTTTTTTTGGTTTTTTTTTTTAGGATGGGAGGCTTAGAGTCAACGACCAGTTAATCGCGGTGAACGGGGAGTCGTTGCTGGGCAAGACGAACCAGGATGCCATGGAAACGCTCCGCAAGTCTATGTCCACCGAGGGCAACAAGCGTGGCATGATCCAGCTCATCGTTGCCAGGAGGGTCGCCAAGCGGAATGAGGTAATGAGAGATGATTAAAATTTTTATTTCTGTTCTGTTTATTATTTCTGTAAAGATCATCACATTTTTACAGGCCATAGGAACATTAGGAACGTTGACAGATGCCCCCCCCCCCCAGCCAAAAATATTAAAATCAGGAGGATGAGGCTGTGACCCCTCTCCAAATATCTTCCAACCAACATGTGTAATATTTCTATACACATCACTCGTCTACAGATGCTCCTTTGTGGCGCGCTCACCTCAGTGCTAAGACGAAAGCTTGACAGTGTCATATATCGCTCATGATTACTCAGAGATCAAATTTATAGGGTGTAGGTTTGAATCTCAAGTAGGGCAGTGCCATGCCTGAGTTCAGCTAAGCTGTCCTCCTCTGTCGAGTGTTGAGACAGTTAGCCGATCCCTTAGTATAATGTAGTGTTAAGTGATGAATCAGTGTCAGTTTTGATTGCGATGACAAGCGGCCTGGATGGCGAGTGGGACGACCAGATGCTGGCTCGTCATACACTGGGTTGGGAAGCATCCAGCGTTGGGGGCACGGTGCTGAGGCCGCTCTCCCACGTCCCGCAAGGCCGGAGTCACGTCCGCACGCGAGCACTTCCGCTCATCTCCCTTTCAGCACGTGCTAATGTTGTTTACTCAAAGTCCCATGTTATATGAATGATTCCAGTAAGAAGAAGAAAATAAAGTACTCCTTATCTGGAAGGTCTGTCTGGGCTGTAAAGGGAGTAACTGTTCTCGTTTAGTAAATGTGAATTGTGTGGAAGTGCTTCTTTCTTCAGCCGGTCGAGGTGCTCACCGGTGCTGGTGGAGCGGTATGACAAAGACCTCCTCCTGTTGCGTCTCAAGAGGTTCCTCCTGCCTCCATGTTGGTCCTGATGAATGCCTGTCCCCCGGTGTTTATCACCGGGACAGACGAGCCTCCCTCATCTCCTCCTTCCAGCTGGGATGCACCGACGGATCGTTAGCAGAGAGTCCTGCTCGCACGGCAGCAACCATTGTCCACTCGTGCGTCACTGTGCGTCAGACGGCGGCAGCTACGAGCGGCGGCCATTTGTGATGAGATGGACGCCAGCCGGCGTCTGGCCGGCGGATGGGGAGTGTGTCTGCGCCCCGCATCTCAGACGGAGGGTTAACGTCTCATTTGCGTTCCCGTTGCCATGAGCCTCCAGGTCGCCTGTTAGCCTTTGGCTAACCGGCCCGGAGGCGTGTGAGCAGTCGCACATGCGCACTCCGTGTTCGTATTTCACAGCCCCGCTCTCTCCGCGTCCTCCTTGGTCTAAAAAGGGGGTGTTTCGTTTATGCTCAGTGACCGTGAGAGTTTCAGTGGCCATCTTTGGAGGAAAGCCACAGTGCATAATGGTGGATTCACCCAGCTCGTTGTGACTGCAGAGAAAGGTCCTGGACTAGCAAACAGGCGCTGTGCAGGGTTTTCCATGGATGCTTGTCAACTACCGATGCCTACTGACCACCTATGTAAATTTCTCAACATGTTTTATAAATATGTGTTTGTATAGATATGTATATCGGTTTTCTATACATGTCGTATAGAAATACTTTCTATTTGTAATCTGTTTGTTTAGTTATTTGCAGTTTAAAACATTCAGCAGGCAAGTCTTAGTTCTCTGGTCATTAAAAGTACACTTTATCTTCTAAAGTGTGGTTGAGTTCGCTTCCTCCAGCATGGCTGCCTTTCATGAAGGAAAGTGACATTTCGGTTGCCAAAGTGCCCATTTCGAGCGGTAATAACAATAAAAACACCCCAGAAAGCCGGCATTAGGTCTGACGCCGCCTTTGAAAAGCTCGGCTGATCGGAAGCGGGGAGTCGTCACTCTGGTGAATGCTCCGGATTTAGCGAGTTATGGGACTTGGGGGGCCAGAGCACCTACGGAATGATTGCCACGGCTCCGTGGGTGAGGGGGCGCCACGGGCTGTCCGGGGATCCCGCCGTGCCGGGGTAGGGGCGCTTTAAAACCCAATTTACGTCTTCTCCTAGTTGGCAGGGCTGCTATTATAGGCACTACGGCTGCTTGCAGCTTCTTTAAAGGACTGTATTTACGATCTTTTAAGCGCATCGCGGGGGGTCCTTTTAATGGGGAACAGAGTGAATATTCACATGTTCGAACCCGGGGCAGGAAAACCGCGTCCGGCTCTGTGGTTCTCCTCTTAACTTCAGCGATTGGCCGCCTGAAAGTGCATCCAGCGCATGCAAAGTTTACAGGCTAATAAAGGCCTTGTATTACTGAAACTTACTAATAGCCGGTCTGTAAGTTTGTAAAAATAAAAGCTGACTCTCGTTAAAAATACCATCCCGTTTTCCAGAACCTGCTTCTCCAGCGCACGGCCGCGGTGAGCCTAGGGGCTGTCCCAGGGTGTGAGAGACCCTGTATGGGCCGATTAACGGCACCAATCCACTTACACCCCATGTTTTTGGGCTGTGGGAGGAAATTCATGCCGACAGAAGGGAAAATATATGAAACCTCACACACACGGAGTAGGGGGGCCGCAATCGAACCCACAACCCTGGGGGTTTTGCGGCTACGTTGCTTCCCAGAGAGACTCCGCAGCACCCTACAGTTAAAATAAAACCTGGTTAAAAAGCCATACTAGTAAATCTTCCCGGTTTACTGCGCTATTAAACTTAGAAGTGTGTTACACTAATATACCTCACATATGAACCTAGGCTGGTTTTTCGTGTGAAGTGTAATTTGCCGGGTGACATTCGGGTGGCACTCCAGGGCACGGGAGAGACTGCGATTCCCCCCCCAGACATGTGTGAGTGACGGACGCACGGCTGGAAGGCGGCTCGCGGTGACAGATTGAGGGGGGGATGTGATGCGGCGATGTGCAGCTGCTCTGCTGCTATGCTGATTTTAAAGGCCTCAGACCATCATTTGCACCTGACAGATGGGACACACATCACCAACAATTTTGACAGCAGGGGGCAGTCTATACTTGTTGCCCATCACAAGTAAACAGATACAAAGGATTTCATAAATCTCCTTTCCGTCTGTTTTCAGTGTGTTTCCCGGCTTTTCACATCTTCCACGGACCATCTTAATCGATCTCTTCCATCCCGATCCTCGTGCTGTATGTCGGCACTGTTATGCTCTGGAGGTCCACCGAGGAACCAGGACCAGTAACTCGTCCTAAATTCCTCTCTCTCCACCTAGTTTAGTAATGACCGCTTTTTAATGTCACCCGGTCACGTGACTCTACACAGAACTAACGGCTTCACTGCTGGGCTTGTGTCTCCTTCACTGCCAATACACACCAGGAGTTTGAAGCTGGAAAAAAGCGGCTTCCGCTTGGAGCTGCGTGAGCTTATTCTGTGTCTGCCGATGCCGGTGGCTCTCATTGTAATTGGGTTGGGCCCCTTTGTGCATCACTCCTGTTTTTACACCAGCTGTCTCTTGCTATCAGGCCTCCTTAGACTAGCTACTCCGCTCGCACCGCAACTCGCCGTCTTCCGTACCAGATGGACGGCAGGTTTTCCTCCGAACCGCGAGAGGCTTCGGTCGCCGGGGGTAACCGGAAGGACAGCGCGTCGGGCACGGGCACGATGATGGACGAACCCCGGCGTTCTCCCTCCGAGGGGGTCCTTTTTGTCCCCAGGCGATGTGGAGACGTGTAGCTCCTAGGGAACGACGGGAGCTTTGCCGTCAGAGATGTCCCTCGTCCCGGGTGGCGTGTCCTTCTGTCTGCTGCTTGACGATCCCTGTTTGTAAGGCAACGAGCGCATGTCCAGTCAACACAAAAAAACGTGAAAATACCTGGTCAAATACCTGGCCACCTGCTGGTGGCAGAATGCAGCTTATTTGACTATTAATGGAAATCCTGGCATGTTTGTCCTTGCACTGAATGCCAGCTCAGACGCCCCCCCCCCCCCCCCCCCCCCCCAAAAACACCCCCCCCCCCCC